ATATTAAGTAGGACTGAAAGACTTCCGGTACTGAAACTCGACATATCAAGTTGGACTGAAAGACTTCTGGTACTGAAACTCGACATATCAAGTTGGACTGAAAGACTTCCGGTACTGTAACTCAACATATTTATTAGGACTGAAAGACTTCCAGTACTGAAACTCGACATATCAAGTTGGACTGAAAGACTTCCAGTCCCAAAACTCGACATATTAAGTAGGACTGAAAGACTTCCGGTACTGAAACTCGACATATTTAGTGGTACTGAAAGACTTCCGGTACTGAAACTCGACATATCAAGTTGGACTGAAAGACTTCCGGTACCGAAACTCGACATATTAAGTTGGACTGAAAGACTTCCAGTCCCAAAACTCGACATATTAAGTAGGACTGAAAGACTTCCTGTACTGAAACTCGACATTTCAAGTTGGACTGAAAGACTTCAAGTCCCAAAACTCGACATATCGAGTTGGACTGAAAGACTTCCAGTACCAAACTCAGCATATCAAGTTCGACTGGAAGACTTCTGGTACTGAAACTGGACATATTAAGTAGGACTGAAAGACTTCCGGTACTGAAACTCAACATATCAAGTAGTACTGAAAGACTTCCAGTACTGAAACTCAACATATCAAGTAGTACTGAGAGACTTCCGGTACCGAAACTCGACATATCAAGTAGTACTGAAAGACTTCCGGTACTGAAACTCAACATATCAAGTAGTACTGAAAGACTTCCGGTACTGAAACTCGACATATCAAGTTGGACTGAAAGACTTCCGGTACTGAAACTCGACATATCAAGTTGGACTGAAAGACTTCCGGTACCGAAACTCGACATATCAAGTTGGACTGAAAGACTTCCAGTACTGAAACTCGACATATTAAGTAGGACTGAAAGACTTCCAGTACTGAAACTCGACATATCAAGTTGGACTGAAAGACTTCCAGTCCCAAAACTCGACATATCAAGTTGGACTGAAAGACTTCCAGTCCCAAAACTCGACATATCGAGTTGGACTGAAAGACTTCCAGTACCAAAACTCAGCATATCAAGTTCGACTGGAAGACTTCTGGTACTGCAACTTGACATATTAAGTAGGACTGAAATACTTCCGGTACCGAAACTCGACATATCAAGTTGGACTGAAAGACTTCCGGTACTGAAACTCGACATATCAAGTTAGACTGAAAGACTTCCGGTACTGAAACTCGACATATTAAGTAGGACTGAAAGACTTCCAGTACTGAAACTCGACATATCAAGTTGGACTGAAAGACTTCCAGTACTGAAACTCGACATATCAAGTTGGACTGAAAGACTTCCGGTACTGAAACTCAACATATCAAGTCGTACTGAAAGACTTCCGGTACTGAAACTCAACATATTTAGTAGGACTGAAAGACTTCCAGTACTGAAACTCAACATATTTAGTAGGACTGAAAGACTTCCGGTACTGAAACTCGACATATCAAGTTGGACTGAAAGACTTCCGGTACTGAAACTCAACATATTTAGTAGGACTGAAAGACTTCCAGTACTGAAACTCGACATATCAAGTTGGACTGAAAGACTTCCGGTACTGAAACTCAACATATTTAGTAGGACTGAAAGACTTCCAGTACTGAAACTCGACATATCAAGTTGGACTGAAAGACTTCCAGTCCCAAAACTCGACATATTAAGTAGGACTGAAAGACTTCCAGTACTGAAACTCGACATATTAAGTAGGACTGAAAGACTTCCGGTACTGAAACTCGACATATCAAGTTGGACTGAAAGACTTCCGGTACTGAAACTCGACATATCAAGTTGGACTGAAAGACTTCCGGTACTGAAACTCAACATATTAAGTAGGACTGAAAGACTTCCAGTACTGAAACTCGACATATCAAGTTGGACTGAAAGACTTCCGGTACTGAAACTCAACATATTTAGTAGGCCTGAAAGACTTCCAGTACTGAAACTCGACATATCAAGTTGGACTGAAAGACTTCCGGTACTGAAACTCAACATATTTAGTAGGACTGAAAGACTTCCAGTACTGAAACTCGACATATCAAGTTGGACTGAAAGACTTCCGGTACTGAAACTCAACATATTTAGTAGGACTGAAAGACTTCCAGTACTGAAACTCGACATATCAAGTTGGACTGAAAGACTTCCGGTACTGAAACTCAACATATCAAGTAGTACTGAAAGACTTCCGGTACTGAAACTCAACATATTTAGTAGGACTGAAAGACTTCCAGTACTGAAACTCAACATATTTAGTAGGACTGAAAGACTTCCGGTACTGAAACTCGACATATCAAGTTGGACTGAAAGACTTCCGGTACTGAAACTCAACATATTTAGTAGGACTGAAAGACTTCCAGTACTGAAACTCGACATATCAAGTTGGACTGAAAGACTTCCGGTACTGAAACTCAACATATTTAGTAGGACTGAAAGACTTCCAGTACTGAAACTCGACATATCAAGTTGGACTGAAAGACTTCCAGTCCCAAAACTCGACATATTAAGTAGGACTGAAAGACTTCCAGTACTGAAACTCGACATATTAAGTAGGACTGAAAGACTTCCGGTACTGAAACTCGACATATCAAGTTGGACTGAAAGACTTCCGGTACTGAAACTCGACATATCAAGTTGGACTGAAAGACTTCCGGTACTGAAACTCAACATATTAAGTAGGACTGAAAGACTTCCAGTACTGAAACTCGACATATCAAGTTGGACTGAAAGACTTCCGGTACTGAAACTCAACATATTTAGTAGGACTGAAAGACTTCCAGTACTGAAACTCGACATATCAAGTTGGACTGAAAGACTTCCGGTACTGAAACTCAACATATTTAGTAGGACTGAAAGACTTCCAGTACTGAAACTCGACATATCAAGTTGGACTGAAAGACTTCCGGTACTGAAACTCAACATATTTAGTAGGACTGAAAGACTTCCAGTACTGAAACTCAACATATCAAGTAGGACTGAAAGACTTCCGGTACTGAAACTCGACATATCAAGTTGGACTGAAAGACTTCCGGTACCGAAACTCGACATATCAAGTTGGACTGAAAGACTTCCAGTACTGAAACTCGACATATTAAGTAGGACTGAAAGACTTCCGGTACTGAAACTCGACATATCAAGTTTGACTGAAAGACTTCCGGTACTGAAACTCGACATATCAAGTTGGACTGAAAGACTTCCGGTACTGAAACTCAACATATTTAGTAGGACTGAAAGACTTCCAGTACTGAAACTCGACATATCAAGTTGGACTGAAAGACTTCCAGTCCCAAAACTCGACATATTAAGTAGGACTGAAAGACTTCCGGTACCGAAACTCGACATATTTAGTGGTACTGAAAGACTTCCGGTACTGAAACTCGACATATCAAGTTGGACTGAAAGACTTCCGGTACCGAAACTCGACATATTAAGTTGGACTGAAAGACTTCCAGTCCCAAAACTCGACATATTAAGTAGGACTGAAAGACTTCCTGTACTGAAACTCGACATTTCAAGTTGGACTGAAAGACTTCAAGTCCCAAAACTCGACATATCGAGTTGGACTGAAAGACTTCCAGTACCAAACTCAGCATATCAAGTTCGACTGGAAGACTTCTGGTACTGAAACTGGACATATTAAGTAGGACTGAAAGACTTCCGGTACTGAAACTCAACATATCAAGTAGTACTGAAAGACTTCCAGTACTGAAACTCAACATATCAAGTAGTACTGAGAGACTTCCGGTACCGAAACTCGACATATCAAGTAGTACTGAAAGACTTCCGGTACTGAAACTCAACATATCAAGTAGTACTGAAAGACTTCCGGTACTGAAACTCGACATATCAAGTTGGACTGAAAGACTTCCGGTACTGAAACTCGACATATCAAGTTGGACTGAAAGACTTCCGGTACCGAAACTCGACATATCAAGTTGGACTGAAAGACTTCCAGTACTGAAACTCGACATATTAAGTAGGACTGAAAGACTTCCAGTACTGAAACTCGACATATCAAGTTGGACTGAAAGACTTCCAGTCCCAAAACTCGACATATCAAGTTGGACTGAAAGACTTCCAGTCCCAAAACTCGACATATCGAGTTGGACTGAAAGACTTCCAGTACCAAAACTCAGCATATCAAGTTGGACTGGAAGACTTCTGGTACTGCAACTTGACATATTAAGTAGGACTGAAATACTTCCGGTACCGAAACTCGACATATCAAGTTGGACTGAAAGACTTCCGGTACTGAAACTCGACATATCAAGTTAGACTGAAAGACTTCCGGTACTGAAACTCGACATATTAAGTAGGACTGAAAGACTTCCGGTACCGAAACTCGACATATCAAGTTAGACTGAAAGACTTCCGGTACTGAAACTCGACATATTAAGTAGGACTGAAAGACTTCCGGTGCCGAAACTCTAAATATCAAGTAGGACTGAAAGACTTCCGGTACTGAAACTCGACATATCAAGTAGGACTGAAAGACTTCCGGTGCCGAAACTCTAAATATCAAGTAGGACTGAAAGACTTCCGGTACTGAAACTCGACACATCAAGTTGGACTGAAAGACTTCGGGTACCAAAAGTCGACATATCAAGTAGGACTGAAAGACTTCCGGTACTGAAACTCGACATATCAAGTAGGAGTGAAAGACTTCGGTGCCTAAAGTCGACATATCAATGGTACTGAAAGACTTCCGGTACCGAAACTCATCTGTGACAGTCTGCTGGACCTAGAAACATGCTTGCTGAACTGACGTAACAGGTAAAGTCATCTGACAGAGAGTGATGGTACCCAAGACGAACTGTCAAGGGGCAACTCATGTTTTGGCAACACGTCGGTACAACTCACGGGCAGTATATATATCTATTGGACTGTGGGCCATCTGGTGTCCAAGTTCATGTGTTGTGTGACTTACTCGAGGAAACTGGTGATGTATTCTCGACTGTGGGTCATGTGTTGTGTGACTTACTCGAGGAAACTGGTGATGTATTCTCGACTGCAACTCGACCACAGGAACGGCACGGTGTCCTTGGTGAGCTGGGCGGCCATGATGCGGGCGGGTTCGTGCCCGGGGGTGCCGCAAGGGTTGCCTGCGCCGTCGTGGTGCATGCCGAAGCTGTCGCAACAAACCAAGGCGTTATAACATGGCTCTAACCACCACTACACAACATGCCGAAACTGTCGCAACAAACCAAGGCGTTATGACATTGATCTAACCAGCACTATACAACATGCCGAAACTGTCGCAACAAACCACGGCATTATAACATGGCTCTAACCACCGCTACACAACATTCCGAAACTGTCGCAACAAACCAAGGCGTTATAACATGGCTCTACCCACCACAACACAACATGCCGAAACTGTCGCAGAAAACCAAGGCGTTATAACATAGATCTAACCAGCACTATACTACATGCCGAAACTGTCGCAACAAACCAAGGCGTTATAACATGGATCTAACCAGCACTATACAACATGCCGAAACTGTCGCAACAAACCACGGCATTATAACATGGATCTAACCAGCACTATACAACATGCCGAAACTGTCGCAACAAACCAAGGCGTTATAACATGGCTCTACCCACCACAACACAACATGCCGAAACTGTCGCAGAAAACCAAGGCGTTATAACATAGATCTAACCAGCACTATACAACATGCCGAAACTGTCGCAACAAACCAAGGCGTTATAACATGCCTCTACCCACCACAACACAACATGCCGAAACTGTCGCAGAAAACCAAGGCGTTATAACATGGCTCTAACCACCACAACACAACATGCCGAAACTGTCGCAACAAACCAAGGCGTTATAACATGGCTCTAATCACCACAACACAACATGCCGAAACTGTAGCAACAAACCACGGCGTTTTAACATGGCTCTAACTGGCACTATACAACATGCCGAAACTGTCGCAACAAACCATGGCATTGTAACATGGCTCTAACCACTATACAACATGCCGAAACTGAAGCAACAAACCAGGGTGTTATAACACGGCTCTAACCAGCACTACACAACATGCCGAAACTGTCGCAACAAACTTTGGTATCGTTACATTAGTCTTTCCAATAATCAAAGGTTATAAGTCTTTCAAAGCTCGAATTGATGTAGGTTTTGGACGTTCACTACATAGGTGAAACCCACGTGCAGGGGTAGGGCGTTGACAAACCAAACATCATTATCAGGTCGAATCTAAGATTCGAATCCACTATCCTAGAATCTTTGTTCGTCCAAGGGACTCAACTCTTCACTGCTAGACAACCACAGCATACCGGAAGCACCAAACTCACTTGTGACCGATCTCGTGTGCGATGGTGAAGGCGGAGGCGAGACCGATGTCCTCGTTGATGCTGCAGCTCCTGTCGTCCTCGCACATCCCCGCCACCGGTGCCAGACCTGCACGTGCCAGGGGGCAGAGAAACATAGAACGTTGAAATGCTTCTGGTGTTATCCTCAACTGTTTTACAGGTGCCTAGGTCACACATGACGACAAGTTCATGTCACTTTCAACATTCTTTGTAATATAACATTTCGAATTATAATTAGGTGACAACCCTACCTCCTTCACATAGGTTATATGGACTGAAGAACTGTTCATGGATTGTCGGTTGTGTAGTTCAAGTACAAGAACAATGTCATTCACTTCGCGGATTGACTTTTACAGTACACGTGATTTAAATGTGAAGCACGTTAAAGATAACTGTTCAGCGACTGTTTGTTTATATATGTATTTTCAGGAAGTGAACTGTCCCAAACGCATTCAGCTTCGTGGAAAGAACATTAAAACGCACGTGCTTTCCTGAATGTTTGTGTTATATAAGCATATTGATTGATCTTTAAAGGAGTCTAGCTTCAACCACAGTGGTGACTAGACAGAAGAACGTATCGTTAGACTGACGATGCACATCCTAGTCGGCATGACATCGGTGTTTGTAGTTTAACCTTCAGTCATAAGCGGACTGATTTTCTAAAGGAAATACTACTTTTTCGTGTAGTGTTCTGCCTTCAGTTGTTTTGTCTGTTAATATGTAACTGATGGATATCAAAACGTGATAGAAAACTTAAACATCTATTTTCATTCCATTGTGAAATATCATATTTCCGATGTTTGAATTTCGACCCACCTAGTGTCCCACATGGCTTGTTCTTGTAGGTACAGATGTCGAACCTGAAATAGAAGTTGTGTGAGTGAGTGAGTTGGGTTGTACGCCGATCAAATGAGCCCCCTTCCAGTTATATCAGAAATGTTACCAGGACGGGGGGCTTCAGAGATGTGTGTCATACACAGTACCGGGTCTGTGCCCTCTATCTACTTTAAACCAGATCCTTCCTACGCCAGGAATGTATGTATATCACATTAATGAGAGCTAGAAGATCTAAATGTATTTCCCAGCTAGTAGAACAAAGATTAAATGTATTTCCCAGCTAGTAGAACAAAGATTAAATGTATTTCCAAGCTAGTAGAACAAAGATTAAATGTATTTTCCATCTAGTAGAACAAAGATTAAACGCATTTCCCAGCTAGTAGAACAAAGATTAATTGTATTACCCAGCTAGTAGAACAAAGATTAAATGTATTTCCAAGGTAGTAGAACAAAGTTAAAATGTATTTCCAAGCTAGTAGAACAAAGATTAAATGTATTTCCCAGATAGAACAAAGATTAATTGTATTTCCCAGCTAGTAGAACAAAGATTAAATGTATTTCCCAGCTAGTAGAACAAAAATTAAACGCATTTCGCAGCTAGTAGAACAAAGATTAAATGTATTTCCCAACTAGAACAAAGATTTATTGTATTTCCCAGCTAGTAGAACAAAGATTAAATGTATTTCCCAGCTAGTAGAACAAAGATTAAATGTATTTCCCAGCTGGTAGAACAAAGATTAAATGTATTTCCCAGCTAGTAGAACAAGGATTAAATGTATTTCCCAGCTAGCAAAACAAAGATGAAGTCGATGCTAGAAGAAATAAGATTAAATCATTTCCCAGCTAGTAGAACATTTATTAAATGTATTTCCCAGCTAGTAGAACAAAGGGTAAGTGTATTTCCGAGCTATACTAGTAGAACAAAATCAAATGTATTTCCCAGCTAGAACAAAGATTAAACGCATTTCCCAGCTAGTAGAAGAAGGATTAAATGAATTTCCCAGCTAGTAGAACAAAGATTAAATCATTTCCCAGCTAGTAGAACATATATTAAATGTATTTCCCAGCTAGTAGAACAAAGGTTAAGTGTATTTCCGAGCTATACTAGTAGAACAAGATTAAATGTATTTCGTTGCTAGAAACTAAGTATCTGCGTATTTCTTTGTAAACTCGACTATGCTGTTTGAGATCCTACACTGTCTGCAGGTTTCGCTGTTTAACGTCTCAGGGCCCTTACGTGACGCTTCTTCGTACCCTAGGGGTGAGTGTGCTGGATTTGTACGCAGCATTGATTAATAGTTCAGTTATGTCACGACGTGGCTACATTATGTGGGCGCACAGCCTGATCTGATGAAGGTAGTATTCATTTACCACTATGGTGGATCATAATAACGAAAAATCGGGATGTCGAACCCATGATTATCGGATCCTGGCAATGGTGAGGGAGATAACTGGCACTTCCCTGAAGTCAACATCGTTTCTACGTGTGTCTGTTCCACTAGCATGACAGTCAGACTTTACTGGACAGAGTGATACATCTTTGTTCTCACCTGGTTATAAGCACGGCGTTGTCATGGTGTGCTATCCCGGTGCCGTCGTCAGCGGTGTAGTTGAGGTTGACGTTGATCTCACGCTGCCACTTACAGAAGCTGTCCAGCGACTTGTCGGCGTGGTGGTTGATCTCCAGCCCCTGCTACGACAACATCATCAGCGTCTCAATGCCGAACTGAGAATATCTCCAACTGAAATCTGTTGGCATTCACCCTAAATGCCGAACTGAAGACAATATATCCAACTGAAGTCTGTCAGATGGTGTCCCTTAAATACCGTACTGAGGACAATATATCTAACTGAAGTCTGTCTTCGTTCTACCCTCAATGTCGAACTAAGGACAATATATCAAACTGAAGTCACTCGGCGTTCCCCCTGAATGCCGAACTGAGGACGATATGTAGAGGGGAATGTCCGAGTAACTCTCCATTCCTTAAAAATAATGGTGCAGAGGCCCCGCAGGGGCCGAGGCCTATTATTTTTAAGGAATGGAGAGTTACGAGGATATTCCCCTACTTAAAACTCATCCCTACTTTTACATTTTGACAAAATATTCTGCAAAATTCAAATGCTGCTTCAAGAATATGTACAGTTGACAAGCAACTCTCCATTCCTGAAAAATAATTGAGCGTTCAAACAATAGAATGACGTAACAAGATGTCTTTTAACAGCTTCTCCTGTCCAAGCCGAACTGAGGACAATAGATCGACGTGTGTTCTGATCTAATCGCCATACAAGTTCAGAGGCTAATATCAATGTGGAACTGAGGATTTTAAAAGTCTACTAGTCTGAATGCCGAACTGAGTGCCAACACTATTTGTATACAACAAAGCCGGTAATTACCCAAATCAACTCAAAATGTGCAATGTAAGATCAGATCACATTTGTAAGGAGATTTTTGCATTTTACAGACGCTTCGTTTATTATGTGATTCCCACCACGTCGTGGTACTTGTCTGTTGAATTCAGAACAAGATATAGATATGTCCTGTCCGTGTGAATATATGTACGAGTGGAGTAATTGTTCTTGGGGTAGAATAGCAGTTCATGTTTTTACTTTAAATATATCTATAAATGTATATAAATATAAGTGGCAGATATGTTAACTAAGCTGTAATGTGAGCGTCGCCGCGTCACAGCGAGGACCGTCCTCTGTCCTACCTGGTCCTCTGTGAGCAGCACGAGGCGAGTGATGATGATGTTCACGCTGTTGCCGATGCTCGGATCATGGAAGAGTTTGGCCACCTGACCTCAAGAAACAAAACAGAGTCTATATTGCTTAGGAAACAGTGTGCTACTGGGGCAGGAAACACTTGGATTAGGAAACATTCAACTACACGTGAAGCGACAGGGTGCACGCTCCTGTATCTGTTTCACTTTCAATATATTTACAATGTTCATGATTGTCAGGACGCATCTCTCTGTTTCACCGTCAATATACTTCCAATGTTCATGATTGTCAGGACGCATCTCTCTGTTTCACCGTCAATATACTTCCAATGTTCATGATTGTCAGGACGCACCTCTCTGTTTCACCGTCAATATATTTACAATGTTCATGATTGTCAGGACGCATCTCTCTGTTTCACCATCAAAATACTTACAATGTTCATGATTGTCAGGACGCATCTCTCTTTCACCGTCAAAACACTTACAATGTCCATGATTGTCAGGACGTTTATTTATATCACCATCAAAATACTTACAATGTTCATGATTGTCAGGACGCATCTCTCTGTTTCAACGTCAAAATACAATGTTCATGATTGTCACGGCGCATCTCTCTGTTTCACCATCAATATACTTACAATGTTCATGATTATCAGGACGTATCTCTCTTTCACCGTCAAAACACTTACAATGTTCATGATTGTCAGGACGTTTATTTATATCACCGTCAATGTACTTCCAATGTTCATGATTGTCAGGACGCACCTCTCTGTTTCACCGTCAATATATTTACAATGTTCATGATTGTCAGGACGCACCTCTCTGTTTCACCGTCAATATATTTACAATGTTCATGATTGTCAGGACGCACCTCTCTGTTTCACCATCAAAATACTTACAATGTTCATGATTGTCAGGACGCATCTCTCTTTCACCGTCAAAACACTTACAATGTCCATGATTGTCAGGACGTTTATTTATATCACCATCAAAATACTTACAATGTTCATGATTGTCAGGACGCATCTCTCTGTTTCAACGTCAAAATACAATGTTCATGATTGTCACGGCGCATCTCTCTGTTTCACCATCAATATACTTACAATGTTCATGATTATCAGGACGTATCTCTCTTTCACCGTCAAAACACTTACAATGTTCATGATTGTCAGGACGTTTATTTATATCACCGTCAATGTACTTACAATGTTCATGATTGTCAGGACGCATCTCTTCTGTCACCGTCAAAACACTTACAATGTTCATGATTGGCAGGACGTTTATTTATATCACCGTCAATATACTAACAATGTTCATGATTGTCAGGACGTATCGCTCTGTTTCACAGTCAATGTACTTACGGTGTTCATGAATGTCAGGACGTTTATTTATATCACCGTCAATATACTTACAATGTTCATGATTGTCAGGACGTATCTCTCTATCTCGTGCTGACCGTGGTAGTTGACCATGCGCTTGTCGACGACGACGACTGTCTCTACGTCACGGTCGGTGCTGGTTGAACGTTTATGGCGACCCTTGCGAAACTTTTCTTTTTTAATATGACGCCAGTGTCGGGCATAGCTCCTGTGTTTGACAACCTCATTGAAGATCCGCGGAGATTTGTTGAGAAGCCATTTCATTTTCTTGTCCTGAATGTCTGGAAGGAGAGCCCGACAAAACGAGGCGTATGGTATTACCTGTCCACCGATCTCGTCGGAAATATTATGAGTGAGTGAGTTGGGTTTAACGCCGCTTTTAACATTTTTCCAATTATATCACGGCGTGTCAGCTTAATGTGGGAGGAAAGCCCGAAGTGATGAAGGTCACAGACGTTTACCACTTCGGTGAAACCCACGAGCACGGTATGGTGCAGACAAACCTAGAAACATAATCGGGGCGAACCGGAATTCGAACCCACAATCATAGGTTTCTGGCGCGCCCAAGGGACACAACTCTGCACAGCGAATTGCGGCGCCTTAGACGACTGGGCCCCCCGTGCCCCCGGAAATATTATAAGAATAACTATCGCCATGAGAAAAGATCTATGACATATTAATTACCGAGGGGAAAATAAACCGTAATTCCGAGTTTCGAGTTGGTTACTCCAGTTCTTACCCACAATCAAATTTACTTCAAACGTGAACAAATTTGTAGTTTTATGGATAACCTTTCAGTGTAATGAACAACCCATCCCGTATTTACAGAAGCCCTACATGTCCTTTAAGTGAGTCATGCGGAGGATGTTGTGATGTTGTTACCGCTGACGCCGCAGTGGGAGTCGTCGTCGCGCAGTTTGAGGGAGGAGCGGGTGTAGACGATGTGCGGGTAACCCTCCACTCCAACGATGTTGGTGTGGTTCCACAGAGGCTCAACGAAGTAGTCGTCGTCGGTCGTAGAGAAGAAGCCGTACTGCAACACAGGACGGTGTTCATGTAGTTAGTTGTTTGTTTATTGGTGTCTCTAATTACCGCCCCTGTCCACGTGCTTTTTACGTGATGGACAACATTTATACCGTGATGTATACGTCTTGGAAGACATATATACCGCCCCTGTCAACGTGCTTTATACGTGATGGACAACATTTATACCGCCTCTGTCAACGTGATGTATACGTGTTGGACAACATTTATACCGCCCCTGTCAACGTGATGTATACGTCTTGGAAGACATATATACCGCCCCTGTCAACGTGATGTATACGTGTTGGACAACATTTATACCGCCCCTGTCAACGTGATGTATACGTCTTGGAAGACATATATACCGCCTCTGTCAACGTGCTTTATACGTGATGGACAACGTTTATACCGCCCCTGTCCACGTGCTTTTTACGTGTTTAACTACATTTATACCGCCCCTGTCAACGTGATGTATACGTCTTGGAAGACATATATACCGCCCCTGTCAACGTGCTTTATACGTGATGGACAACATTTATACCGCCGCTGTCAACGTGATGTATACGTCTTGGAAGACATATATACCGCCCCTGTCAACGTGCTTTATACGTATTTGACAACGTTTATACTGCCCCTGTCAACGTGCTTTATACGTGATGGACAACGTTTATACCGCCCCTGTCCACGTGCTTTTTACGTGTTTGACTACATTTATACCGCCCCTGTCAACGTGATGTATACGTCTTGGAAGACATATATACCGCCCCTGTCAACGTGCTTTATACGTGTTGGACAACATTTATACCGCCTCTGTCAACGTGATGTATACGTCTTGGAAGACATATATACCGCCCCTGTCAACGTGCTTTATACGTGTTCGACAACGTTTATACCGCCCCTGTCAACTTGCTTTATACGTGATGGACAACGTTTATACCGCCCCTGTCAACGTGCTTTATACGTGTTCGACAACGTTTATACCGCCCCTGTCAACGTGCTTTATACGTGATGGACAACGTTTATACCGCCCCTGTCAACGTGCTTTATACGTGTTTGACAACATTTATGCCGCCCCTGTCAACGTGCTTTATACGGGATGGACAACCTTTATACCGCCTCTGTCCACGTGCTTTTTACGTGTTTGACAACATTTATACCGCCTCTGTCAACGTGATGTATACGTGTTGGACAACATATATACCGCCCCTGTCAACGTGCTGTATACGTGTTGGACGACATATATACCGCAACTGTAACGTGCTTTATACGTGTTGGATGACATTTATACCGCCCCTGTCAACGTGATGTATACGTGTTGGACAACATATATACCTCCCCTGTCAACGTGCTGTATACGTGCTGGACGACATATATGTCGCAACTGTTACGTGCTTTATACGTGTTGGACTACATTTATACCGCCTCTGTTAACGTGCTTTATTCGTGTTGGACGACATTTATACCGCCTGTTAACGTGCTTTATACGTGTTGGACGACATTTATACCGCCTCTGTTAACGTGCTTTATACGTGTTGGACAACATTTATACCGCCTCTGTTAACGTGCTTTATACGTGTTGGACGACATTTATACCGCCTCTGTTAACGTGCTTTATACGTGTTGGACAACATTTATACCGCCTCTGTTAACGTGATGTATACGTGTTGGACAACATTTATACCGCCCCTGTCAACGTGATGTATACGTGTTGGACAACATATATACCGCCCCTGTCAACGTGCTGTATACGTGTTGGACGACATATATACCGCCCCTGTCAACGTGCTTTATACGTGTTGGACGACATTTATACCGCAACTGTTACGTGATGTATACGTGTTGGACAACATATATACCGCCTCTGTTAACGTGCTTTATACGTGTTGGACGACATTTATACCGCCTCTGTTAACGTGCTTTATACGTGTTGGACAACATTTATACCGCCTCTGTTAACGTGATGTATACGTGTTGGACAACATTTATACCGCCCCTGTCAACGTAATGTATACGTGTTGGACAACATATATACCGCCCCTGTCAACGTGCTGTATACATGTTGGACGACATATATACCGCAACTGTTACGTGCTTTATACGTGTTGGACGACATTTATACCGCCTCTGTTAACGTGCTTTATTCGTGTTGGACAACATATATACCGCCCCTGTCAACGTGCTGTATACGTGTTGGAAGACATATATACCGCCCCTGTCCACGTGCTTTTTACGTGATGGACAACATTTATACCGCCTCTGTCAACGTGATGTATACGTGTTGGACAACATTTATACCGCCCCTGTCAACGTGATGTATACGTCTTGGAAGACATATATACCGCCTCTGTCAACGTGCTTTATACGTGATGGACAACATTTATACCGCCTCTGTTAACGTGATGTATACGTGTTGGACAACATTTATACCGCCCCTGTCAACGTGATGTATACGTGTTGGACAACATATATACAGCCCCTGTCAACGTGCTGTATACGTGTTGGACGACATATATACCGCAACTGTTACGTGCTTTATACGTGTTGGACGACATTTATACCGCCTCTGTTAACGTGCTTTATACGTGTTGGACGACATTTATACCGCCTCTGTTAACGTGCTTTATACGTGTTGGACGACATTTATACCGCCTCTGTTAACGTGCTTTATACGTGTTGGACAACATTTATACCGCCTCTGTTAACATGATGTATACGTGTTGGACGACATTTATACCGCCTCTGTTAACGTGCTTTATACGTGTTGGACGACATTTATACCGCCTCTGTTAACGTGCTTTATACGTGTTGGACAACATTTATACCGCAACTGACAACGTGCTGTATACGTGTTGGACAACATTTATACCGCCTCTGTGAACGTGCTTTATACGTGTTGGACGACATTTATGCCGCCTCTTTTAACGTCAGAAGAACCAAGTTCAATTCTGTCAAAACATTTCATTTCAACTTTGTATACCACTATCCCATATGACAAACGTATGGGAAACTCCATTCCCTGATCCACGGGGCTTTAGTAACAAAACGTGGTGACCCTATATACAGTTACATATCTATCTTCAGAGGTTCAGGTCAGTTTGTCAAACGTGAAAGCAAATGTCATCAGAAGTTTACTGAGAAAACGATATGTGAAATGCTGGACTTCCTCATTGAAAACATCTATGTACATTTTGGGGAAAAGACATTTAGGCAAGAAGTAGGCATCCTCATTGACACTAATTATTTATGACTTGGGTTGCCATAGTCAGAACAAGATAATGTGGCCAAGAAGTAGATCTATGCATAAGATTCAGAGTGACAAAACACTCTCCACAAGACTGTGTGACAAGAGCTAGGGATGACTTCAACTCCCCAATAGTCACCTTGCCCTTTATTTCGTGTTTCCGTGAACAATTGACTTGCCTTTGCAAGAGTTTGTGACTGGTGGGGCAGGATACGCTCACGTTTTCGCGAACAGCTGGTATCATCACTATCTGAAGTGATTCATAAACATGTGCTCATGATATAGTCTATTTCAATCGACTCTGCTTTTTGCATATACAGTAAACTACGTTTATAACGAAGACGCTTATAACGAACATACCGATATAACGAACTTATTTTTAGTCCCGGCCATTTGTTGTATATATGCTGATTATATGCTTATACCGAACTACGGTTATTACGAACTAAAATTAGTGGTCCCTTTGAGTTCGTTTTAACCTCAATCAAGTTTTTTTCGTAATTCAGGCCACATGGCCCATAGAACAGTTGTGAGATAAATAACATTTAGGTCACATGTCCAGAGTGTTACATCTCTGTCGATCTCAAATAGCAATATTGGAGCGATTGTAATGTCAAATATAATTATTATAAGCAGTCGAGAAATCTATAAATCTGTTTTTACTGAACAAATGAAAAACTGGCCCTATACTATTTGCCTTCCGTGCTTGCAAGGCAAGAGTTTCACATGCTTTAGGCCATCTTAACCGTGAGGAGAACAAGCTATTTATAGTACGTTACCGTCTTTATCTTCACATTATCCAGTGCCATTGCCTCATACTTGGTTATTATCCCTCCATGTCTTAATACAATAACATTTGATTTTTCAAGATTTACACACTATCCCCATTTCAAACAATATGTATTTAAAACAGCTAGCTGTCTCGGCAAGCCCAAAACAATATACGAGAAAAGTATAATGTCATCGGCAAATAGGATTAATATCAGATCTTCAATATTTTGGGTAACAAATATACCATGATCGCAAGCAGCATACATTTCCAACACAAGCTCATTAATAAATAAAATAAATAAGTTAAGGCTCAAAACGCAGCCTTGTCTTACCCCACTAGAGGTGTTAAAAAAGAAGTTTTAAAGCAACCAATCTTTACACCTGCTTTTACAGATGCATACATACTTTTTAACAAATTGTACATTTTACCATGTCATCCTTTTTGTAAGAGTAAATATAGCATTTCTTCCCGTCAACATAATCAAACGCCTTTCTAAATTCAATGAATGCACCATAAAATCTGCCTTTTTGTTTACAGAGATATTTGGAACATAATGCATGCAGCGTAAAGATATGATCAATGGTAGAATAATAAGAACGGAAACCTGCTTGGGATTCTGAAATAAGCTCATTTATCCAGATTCTAAGGCGTTTTTCTAGACTAGACGTAAAAACCTTCCCTAAGATGTTCAAAAGAGAAATGCCCCTATGGTTGTTAGGATAGCCGTAATTTACTGTATTTTATTATAATAATATTTTTATTATAATATTAATTTGACGTTTACACGATATACGGCTTTTCCATTGGACGAGAGGTCGGTCACATGACCGCGAAATTGACGTTCATAAGTGTATGAACGACACGACACGTTCTTGAAATGATGAAACACCGACGGACTACTTCGACATTCCTGGGGAAAACCCTGGGAATTCCCTAGCCCGAAAACACACATAAGCGTTCTTTCTGATCATTTAGAACCTTTAATCTTGGTCTCATC